CTACCGCGGGATCAGCCTTCTAAACATAGGTTACAAGGTCTTATCGAGCGTATTGTGTGAAAGACTGAAGCCCACCGTCAATGAACTGATTGGGCCTTGTCAGTGTGGCTTTAGACCTGGAAAATCTACCATAGACCAGGTATTCACAATACGCCAAATCTTGGAAAAGACCCGCGAGAAAAGGATCGACACTCACCACCTATTTGTCGACTTTAAGGCCGCTTTTGACAGCACTAAAAGGTGTTGCCTATACGCCGCACTGTGTTCTGTTTTGGGAAAAAATGGACAAAACCAAATATCTCCCGATCCAAACCAGATAGATACACAAACTAAACGGCATTATAAAGCCCAAATACTGGTGAATACCGGAAAATTATTCAGATTCTTCAAAAAAAGTTCTCGCCCTTGAATGCCAAGGTCAAAGTTCAACTAAAAAAAATTGTATATAAAAGCAAATATCTAGCGATCGAAAATTTATAGAGACCTAAATGAAATAGTATTTTAAACTCCAGGTATTGCTGTAAAGAGCCAAACTGTTTCGATTCGTCAAAAATAAATTCCGTATCGTAAATTTTCCTGACTTAAACATAGCTAATTGTTTTTTTAAATCGTTTTATGCGATATACGTACATATAAATGCACATATGTACGTATGTATATGTGGTGGGTCATACCCTGCAGTACGGGGGAGTGACTACAGGACTGCTGAATCGGTAGCTACCTAATAAACACCGTCAATTACCGACCGACTACTTGCAGTATATTTCATCGATTACTTTTACAAGGCAATGTCCTAGGCGGTAGTCACCATCGGCTCTCTCTGCACTACCGGGAGTTACTAAAGTAGTCATTTGCGTGATTTATGGGCGCCCTCTGTCGTAGTTTTTCGCTATTCTGCTTACGACTGGTTCGACTCTGCTCTACCATGTGCACTGCCACGGGTTAATAGAGTAGCTACTTACCTAGGAGTCGGTGCAGTAGTAGGTTCAAAAGTAGCGATTGACTCCAGCAGTACTGGAGGGTATCTATATATTTTTACATACACAATATCACTTCTATACACATACACTGGCGCAGCAAATTTTTCACAATATATGCAACAATTTTCATTCTAATATTTTTCCGCTAATTTCGTATAAAAATATGGTTCATTCTACAACAAAAAACATAAAAATATAATTCCAAAACTTTGTGCAAAACTCGCAAAAATTCTGCAATTTTCACCAAATTTTTCAACTTTTTAATGAGATTTTGTAGAATTTTTTTGAGTGATGCAGCCCATTAAATTCTAGTAAAAAAAATGCAAGCACGGAGTTAGGCAAAAATCGCGTTGATTTTTGAGAATTTTTTTTTTGTGAAGGTGTTTTGCATTTTTTCCATATATTTTTTTTCCAACAAAATTTTTTGTATGGAAGAGACTGCGTAAAAAAATGCCAAAAATCAACGGTAATTTCTAGCTACATAAAACTTGCACTTTGTTATAATAAAATTGATTGGGCTACAAATTTGCATAGTCTGTTTCTTTCTGTTTTTTGTTGTAGAATTAACCATATTTTAATATGAAATTAGCCGAAAAATATTAGAATGAAAATTGTTGCATATATTGTGAAAAATTTGCTCTGCCAATACTTTGTTCCGGCAGTTTATGTATATAGATGTGATATTGTGTATGTAAAAACATATAAATATGACCCACCACACATACATATGTGCATTTATATGTATGTATATCGCATAAAACGATTTAAAAAAACAATTAGCTATGTTTAAGTCAGAAAATTTTTATTTTTTTTAGTTGACCATTGACCCCGGAATTTACGATAGGGAATTTATTTTTGACGAATCGAAACAGTTTGGCCCTTTCAGTAATACTTGGAGTTTAAAATACTATTTCATTTAGGTCTCTATTAATTTTCGATCGCTAGATATTTGCTTTTATATGCAATTTTTTTTTGTTGAACTTTGACCTTAGAATTCAAGGTCGAGAAACTTTTTTTGAAAAATCTGAATAATTTTCCTGTATTCACCAGTATTTGGGCTTTATAATTCCGTTTAGTTTGTATCTCTATCTGGTTTGGATCGGGAGATATTTGATTTTGTCCATTGTTTCCTAAAACAGAACTCATACGGCTGTGTAAAATGACGTTGAGCAATACCTCCAGCTCTGTCAGAATTGGGAAAGACCTCTCCGAGCCGTTCGCCACAAAACGGGTTCCATACAGGGCGACTCCCTTTCATGTGACTTCTTTAATCTGATGTTGGAGAAGATAATAAGAGCTGCAGAACTGAACCGCTCAGGAACAATTTACTACAAGATAGGGATGCAAATTTTGGGGAGTAACATCGATACATCGATGTTTCGATGCATCGGACAAATGAACATCGATGCTAAAATACATCGCCAGAAAAACATCGATATATCGATGGTTTCCGATGTTTCCAAATTTGTTAGGTTGTAGTCACATTGAAAGGAAAATTTAATACTTTTTAATTCATACTCTCTGTAATTCAATTAGAAAAATACTTACATATGGATGTATTTCCCTGTATTTATTTACCATTCCTTTGCCTTCCTTGTAAGTTCGCTGAGCCTAAAGTTCCAAGCCCCAATTTCGTTGAAATTTCAACGGGAACCCGGTCCTTTTTTAATGATTATGTACGCATTTTCACTATCGAAAGTTGGATTCAAGTCTGAATCACACTAAAGTCGATGTTAAAACATCGCTGAAACTGGCAACATCGTTGGCAAACATCGAACTTTGAACCGATATTATCGATGTTTCAAAAATATCGATGCATCGTTTGCATCCCTACTACAAGAGCGTGCAATTGGTGGATTGTGCCGATGACATCGACACCATCGGTAACAAAAACCGCGAAGTCTGTTCTGCCTTTCCAAGTTGGATAGGGAATCAAAGCGAATGGGTCTGGTGGTAAACACACACAGAACATGGACAATGACAACATCCGATGAGGCGGCTCTTGGAGTGTTTGAGAGAATGATTTTGCGGAAGATTTACGGGCCTTTACGCGTTGGCGACGGCGAGTACCGCAGACGATGAAACGATGAGCTTTACAGCGACATGGACACAGTGCAGCGAATTAAAATACAGCGGCTCCGCTGGCTTGGCCATGACGTTCGAATGGACACCGACGCACCAGCTCTAAAAGTATTCAACTCGGAACCCGCTGGTGGTAGCAGAGGAAGAGGGAGGCCCCCACTGCGATGGAAAGATCAGGTGGAGAAGGACTTGGCTTCACTTGGAGTTTCCAATTGGCGTCAGTTGGAACAGAGGAGAAATGACTGGCGTGCTTTGCTGAACTCGGCCAAAATCACTTAGGCGGTTACAGCTCCAAAAAAGAAGAAGAAGAAGAGTTGTCCAAATGGTGATGACAATTGTCACTCTGACAAAATTGTCGCGACAATAGCGACAAAACTAAATAGCTTCGGCTGAATGTTTTCACAGCAGAATTTTGCAAATTTATATATTGGTAACTAAGCGCATTTAATTACATTTCAATAATTTGAATATTTCTTAAAACTAAAGTAATGAATTCACAATTATTACATATGGATTATATACAAATTTCATATGACTGGCGAAAATTTTGCCAACGACAATTTTAAAAATCGACAATGACTTTTTCAATGAATTTTTGCGTGGAATTAATGCGGTGGTGACAATTGGTCGAATTGTCAGTGACAATACGGAAAGTGT